AGAGCTTCGTATAGGCCCCATCCCCTTACTACAACAGGGAGTGAACGGCGTCTATCGCCCCGCTGAGTGGGGTCTATCGCCCCGCTGAGTGGGGTCTATCGCCCCGCTGAGTGGGGTCTATCGCCCCGCTGAGTGGGGTCTATCGCCCCGCTGAGTGGGGTCTATCGCCCCGCTCAGTGGGGTCTATCGCCCCGCTCAGTGGGTAGTTCGGGATCAAAGTCCATGCGCCAGTCCCATGCTTATCACTACATTTCGGGCGGAGCAAAATCTGCCGAAAAAAATCGACCCGGATCCTAAACCGAACCGGATCAGAGCTGGCGCAGCACGTTTTATTCGGCTCCAGTTGCGGTCCGCATCAGCGTTGCGGTCGCGTGACCGGACGGCGTCAGGGAGCGCCCGGTACTGGAGCGCCCTGAGGTTCGATCGGTCGCCGACCAGCACCCGGCACGGCTGCCAGCTTCTGGAGCGCCACTCTGCCATGAGTCACTGCTCACCAGAGCCAGGCGCGTCACCCTCGCCACGCTCAGCCATCGCGTGTACGTGCTGACTCAGACCAATGCCGTGCGACTGCTGGCGTCTGAGGAGGTGCGCTGGCGAGCCGGAGACAGCAGCCGCTGGTGTCGCAGGCGCAGACGGCCCGCGGGGGCGGCGCAGCGCCTCGGGCGCATGGTGCGTCACACGGGCCCCGGGCGGAAGGCCGCCGCCGCCGCCGCCGCCGCCACCGCCATCATTCTTCCCAGGCCTGCTGGGTGACGTCACCCTCAAAGGTCGCCAGCGTCAGCGCGCGCCAGCGCATATTAAGCGAGACAGTGCGCTACTCCATCTGATACGTTGGAAACACGATGTGTTGCCGTGAATCGCTGATGAAATGAGTCGGGGAATTCCTACGTTTTCGCCTGGATCAGGCCGAGTTTTACCGGTTTCCCTGTACAAACATTACGAAATTAATGTTGAACTAATCGGCGATTGACTGCTGCTCTCAAGAGCGTGCCGGTTCATTTGTCGTCGTTACAACAAAGCATAGTGGTGATGATTCACTTCACTATTATTCACCTCTGTCATGTATCACATGTTGCGTGCTCATTAGAGCCAACCAACATATCGACTCCCTGTCATGGCTGCTGTATGTAGTCCGAGAAAGATCGCATCGCAAGTCGTTCATTGAACTGGGTCACTTCTTCATGGCAATTCATGACAGCGATTTTTACAGGTTTCTTTTTTGCATTTCGTGCACGATGACTATGCAGCAATTTCTGGCTGTCACTGAGGAAAGCGGACGTCGCACGTGCACAAGCTGCATGCAATTCATTACAGATCCGTTTTTTACGTCACAAGGGCGCTTCCGCCTTGTCATATGTCCCACATGACATGTGCAACTTCGCACTGCTATTTTGTTATTCTAATGCGAGTGGCTGAGTCGACCTGCTCTATTTTTAGCGACGTATAATCGCATACAATCACCACAGGTGCAGGTCGCATGTGCCGATGCAATTCACACTGAACAGCATTGTCTCTCCATTGCGCCGAGCAAGTCAAAGCGTCTCAACGCAGTCAAAACTGCACAGCTCTCCCGCATGAATGCACAGTTCACATCGTACGGTGGCTCAAGTGCTCTACAGTTCATGATGTATCAATCGGAGGAACCTTGAGGAAATGTTCTCATTCATCAGCGGTGGCTGCGTTCAACCGTACCCCAACCATACCGTGCACCGACAATTTCACTGAACCCCGGCGCAGTTGACTAAACGACCGCATGTTGAGCCCAACCAACTCCGTCAAAAGTTCGCTGGCAGCAGCAAAAAAAAACGCGATGGCGGCTCGCCTTGATTAAGTGAAAAAGTGGTGGTTCCTAACCGGCCATTATCAAGTTTTTAGAAGTTGTGCGTCACTGGCTAGCCTACGCGGATACATCGTAGGGACAGATCAGCAGAAAGTGACAGTCCATACGCGGAGCGGGCCGAACGAGGAGTCCGTCCGTTTTCTTGGTCGCTGGACTCACCACCCCAGCCGGGGAATCTAAAGTGTATCTAAAGGTGGATTGATCTGCTGGGAATGGGGGTTCAGCGCTAGAAAAGAAACTTTTTTACGCTATTTGTTGAAAAGTGATCATGATTGATGAGGAGGACAGTCCCACAACTGCAGGTACATCGATTATAATCTTTGCTGTAGGAAAAGGAAATAGCTGTTTGTCCAGCTTGACGCAGGTACGAATAGAACTAAAACTTCTCGTATATATATATATATATATATATATATATATATATATATATATATATATATATATATGGATAAGGAGTAAGGAGAGAACTGCTTTGACGTGAAGTGTTTGTGTGCTAGACTTGTTATCGCGAGGAGCCGTGTGCAATGGCATCGCTATGATCGCAACGGTCTCCGCTGCCGTCTTGGACGCACGCGTCATGTTTGTTTTCTCCTCTTGCGCTGGACGGCGGTGGAAGAGCGCGGGACCGAGGGGCGTCCACTGGCCCTCGTGATCCTCCCGGGCCGGACACGTGGCCAGGCTGTCCGAGACCGGTGTGCTCGCCAAGACCGGTAGATCAGCGGCAGCCGCGGGGTAACGCCTACCGCATCCCTGTCCGGACGAACGCGTACGGCGCCCGGCACCGAGCTCGCCCCGTGGATCCGACGCATGGTCCGCGCCGCGGCGCCATCTCGGCGATTCGCGGAAGATATGCACGCTCGTGACGCAGGCGAGATCGTCTCGGCAGCTGCGTATATGGGCATCGCCAGCCGTCGGCTGTGCAGGGGCCAGGACCAGAAGCGAACAGCCGAAGCAGGCGCACCCAATATGCAGCTGGTCCATAAATGCATGAGCTCCGTCCTCATTGGCGGGCTGCGGTGAGATCTTGAGCACGCGACGCGCGGCAGCTGGCCAGCTCCGGAGGCTCGCCGCGGCCCCAATACAGCCCTGATCCGGTTGATGCTCGGCGGTAGCGAGCCGGCCGGCTGCGCCGCGCCGCGAGCTCATCAGCGGCCAGGAGCCGCCGGCGTGGCGCGGCGGCGCTGCCTTGTCGAGTGGCTGCCATATGATTGTGCGCTCGGGTGGAGCGGGGCTGGGAGTCGCTGGATTACTGAGGCACGCAGCGTTTGGCGAGGTTCTCGGGAAAGTTGTAGGTCCGGCTGGGGACGTCCGGATGGATGTCATCGGGATTACAGCTTACAGGAACGGCGCCAGTGCTTCCCACGTGGGAAGCTGATTGTCCAAAACATGGGCAGCGATTTGATTATGCAGAGGCCACGGAGCTTGGTAGAACGGAGATCAATTTACTCTCTAGTTCCTCTCATTAGCAGCTCTCCCACTCATGGTGAGAAGCCCTTCCGCGTCATTGAATTCCTGGTGCTATGTGGAGAATGTAGCGCAGCCTTGAGCAGCTGCAGACTGGTGCGAGGGTCAAGCGTACCCTCTTTAGAAGTAGCGAGGGGAGGAACTGGCCGCGGAATGGTCACGTTTGCGGAGAGGATTAGCAAAGATCAGCTGACCGTTCAAGGGTGGGGGCAGGACGCAGCTACCGCGATATGACCTCCAACAATAACACCAAATCACAGGGCCTCGCTATCTGCCCGAAGTCTGTTGTCCAGTACCATAATCTGTCACCAATAGCTCAATATCCTGCAGCTCAGCGAGGTACGTGCTGTGCACAGCATGTGCAATCAGAACGAAACCCATCCATTTATGCACTAGCTGCCGTCCGGGTGCAGCCTGCTCACCCGATCGTGCCGGGCCTGGCAGCTGCTCACACGGTGGTCAGGGACGCCCGTATATGCGGGCGGACGCCGATGCTGTGCCGTTCTCGCGTACGTCGCGGCATACCGAAATCGGCATGCTGATGCGGCTGCTTTGACGCCGCTATCTGCAGTGGGCCCTTGGGCGGGTCGATCCAATTAAGCGGCTATGAATGCCATGGCATGGAAGGACTTGTATAAATAAACCCTCGAGAGCAATATGCGCGCATAAATAGCAGAGACAACATTCTGAAACTTCGAAGTTGGCCGCACCTCTCGGACATGCAAAATGCATTTGGACTCCCAATCCAATCGGTATTTACTGCTGTTCTGTATGGGAGCGAATCGAAGGAAATCATCAATGTTCTGTTTCAGTTTTGGGAACACGAAAACGTCTCGATTATGGCCACGCCTGGCTTGGCGATTGACCTCCATCGCCTAACTCCGTGGCATCTTCAGACATGCAACCTCGCAGCCCCCAGCCGATTTAGGGCAGCTCTCCGCCTGCCGAGCTGAACCACTGACGCAGCCTGCCAGCTATTCAGGGATAACTGTGGCCCCCGCAGCAGCCGGTCACTGTTGCCGCCCACAGTTGTCGGAAACGAGCCGGCTGCAGCTCCGAGAAGACGCCCGGCTGCAGGCCTTCCCAGCTTGGGGGACGGGCCCGGGCGGGACCGGCCTCCGATCTTGCATCACGCCGCTGGCTCGCTGGCCGCCCGCGCTGCCAATTCCCGCTCCGCGCTGGTCGCGTGCAGCGAGCCGAGCCCCGTAAACAAACCCGGCACCCTGCCGACAGCCTTTGAGATGCGCCACTGAAACACCTCACATCCGGTGCCCGGGACGAGGCGCAGGCGTCTCGGCGGCGGCTCGGAGGCCGGCCGGCGGAGGGCGTGCCTACTGGTCGACCACGCCCTCCTCGCCCCGCCGTCCTCGTTCCGAACGGTCACGCGCCTCGCCGGCGCCGACGAGGCGAAAACAGGCCGGCGCCGACCGCGGCGCGCCCGTGCCTGTTTTGACACCCGTATTTCCAGGGGCATGATGCATGGGGCTGGCGGCGGCGCCGCGCGGGCGCCGCGCGGGCGCCGCCCGGCCGCCTCATCGGGCCCGGCTCGGCGCGCGCCGCCACGACGCCACTCTGTTGTGTTTGTCAACATGGCGGCGACGACTGACAAATGGGTTGCGCCGGTGCCACTGCGGCCGCCTTGGCGGCGCCGCGGCGCTGCATTCGTCGCCGCTGATTCACCCGCCTTGGTTTCCAGATTTCGCACCACCATCGTCGCCCAGTTCTTCTCGCACACTCATCTGGACGAGTTCCAGGTGGCGCTGGACGACGAGGGCAGGCCGTTCTCCACTATCTACATCGCGCCCTCTGTCTCGCCGTGGTCGAACCTCAACCCCGGCTACAAAATCTACTACGTCGATGACGGCAGCTGGGTAAAGCGAGCGGCGAGCAGCGCGTGACAGGGCGCCCGCCTCCCTGTCCAGATGTCAGACGGTCGAGCCTCTCTCAGCGCGCCGCTCAGCCAAGGTCATGTGACGGAGACATGCCAAGGACCCGGGCGTCCAGTGCGCGGATCCTCATCAGACCATGACATTTTTTGCAGCAGCAGACGCCAGCTAAAGCTCCGCTCAAATCTCCTGGTTTTAAGGGGACCGAATAATTTACAGGATAGTATGAAATCGCACTCGTAAACTAATAGGTTATCGGTTGCGCAAGGGATTAAGCAGTAGGAGATGAGCAGCCAAAGAAGACACGCCGAAGGCATTCATCAAGCTTTTTTACAAAAACTACTAGGAGTGAAGAAGAGTTCTATGGCGAATAACATTCAGTCATTATTTCCTCCACTCAGTGTCACTGCTATGTTCATGATTGTGTGCGTACTCCTCCACCCTCCATGCACATCTCGGGCTTCTCATGCGCACTAAGAACCACGCCAAGAGCACGCGCTGCGCTGCCGGAAGCCCCACGCCAAATTCCCGCCCGTCACAAGCCGACACCTGCGCGCTCGCAGTGACCGTGACCTGTCTGCTCGCGACAGGCGGTAACGGACACGGAGCGCTGGGTGACCGACCTGGAGGCGGCGAACCGGTCGCCAGCCGCGGCGCCCGTCTGGCGGCGGCTCTACTCGGCGCGGCCGGCGTACGGCCTGGCGGCCCTGACGCCGGCCGCCTGGCTGGCGCTGGCGCGACGCATGGCGCGCAGCCGCCGCCTCTTCGAGCGCGTGTTCGCGCACTACTGGGGCGGCTCGCGGCGGCGGCAGCGGTGCCGCGCCGCCTGCCGACGCCGCACGCTCTGCAACATTGTCACCGTCGACCGGCTCAGCCAGCGGCACTGCGAGGTCATCAAGCGGCAGACGCGGCGCTGACCAGGCGCCCCGCCGGGCGCTGGACCACGCGGGCGCTGGGTCACGGACGCTGGGTCGAAGGCGGCGCCAGCGGCGGTCCCATGTGTCGGGGCCAGCTCAAATTCTGATCTCCTGTGGGCAGCGGCCGTCAGTGAGTGTGCGAGAACACCGGAGCTGTGGGCAGCGAGTGCGTAGAGAGTTGTGCTCACGGGCGGCCGTGCACTGCCATGTGTCAGACTCGGGGAGCGATGGTGACCTCCGTGGGCGAGTCAGTGCTCCCGCACGGGTAAAGGCTCCGAGCGAGCACAGTCATCGGACAGTGTCCACAGATCGTGGCTGTCCCGATTTTACCTGCAGAGTCACGAAGTCATAGGCGCCGAACGCTTGTCGAGGCCGTCGTGTCGTGTCGTCGCGGGCTCTCCTGCTCTAGGGAAGGGACTGGGTCGGCCAGCGACCTGCCGCCACCGCAGCTTCGATTGGCCTTCGCGACAGGCCGATCGACACGGCGGCCGCAGAGCGCCCGCTCTGGCGCACCTGTACCTGTACCGTCCGTCACGGCGTGACGGCCGTGACGCAGCCGTCCTGGTGCTCGCGTGACGGATAGTGCCGCACCACCGGCAGGTGACCCACATACTCGCAAGCCGGCTTCGGTGCGGAAGTCGCGGGGCGAATCCCACCGTTGGTCCCGCCCTCTGTGTGGCTTCGCCAGACGTCAAGCGACAGCGAGGTGATGACCTGCCGTCTTCCGAGGAAAGACGCCGTGGGGAGGGGGGGGGGGGGGGCACGACCTCGCTGGAGCAGAGGTTTAGAGAGGAGGCTTCTGCGACAGTTGCCCTTGTGATAAACCGCCGGTTAATTAGTGGTAATACATTGCGCTGAGATTTGTTAAGCGTTCTGACGTGGACCCGCGGGTTGAGTGTGCGCGGCGTTTCATGTGGCGGCCCCACAGCGCACGGAGATAAGTCCGACATGCCCGTGCCTATCAGTGTACATCTGTTTCAGAAAAACCTCTTACAGGCTCAACGCGGCAATCTTGTTTTACGAAGAAATCTTAAATCTATTACACGGTGGATCAGACCTGGCGTCAAAAGAAATCACGCTGACATGTCTGGTCAAAGTGGCTGGTCTGCTGGGAATCAGCAAACGGCTATTTTGGCCGAACAGATGCTGGAGCGTGGAACTTCTGAACAGGAGGCCAATTACACCATGGAGATCGCTCGAAATATGCCGAGGTCGGTGTGCGATCCGGTGATCCAGCCGCCGGTGCTACCTGGCGCCTGGTACGGGTCGGGGGCGGGGGAGGAACTGGCTTCGTCAGGCGATCGCTGGCTCCTGGATTTCCAGACGGCCAGCAGACGAAAAAGCGGTTTCGCGCGGCTGGTGTCAATAGCCCATCTGAGGGCATAATCCGGCAGTGACTGCCATCTTGGCATTGGTATTCTGTGTCAAGCGTGCGCTGCGGCTTTCCGCTCCCAGCGGACCTGTGGCATATGCGCATACTCTTGATGCGTACAAAGTTCGGTGAAGTACCGGCAGCGCTTCCGTCCCTGAAGCAGCGCGCAGCTCGCGAGGTGAAGGCGGCAATGCATACCTCCTCACGTGACATCACATGGCATGGACCGCTCCTGGAGCCAACCGTGATGACAACTACGACCTTGCTGGCCCCTCAGATGATCTGCAGACTCGGAAAGCTACTGAGCTCCATGAATTATGACATTTACGAGCTTCAGAGAACCGCCAGCTCGGGGGCCATGCGACTGGCGCTGGGATGAGGTCCGCTGGCCGGTGACATTCAGTGAAGTTCAGGGCGAACGCGGCGTGGGCGTCTGCAGTCTGTGCCGACCGGCGCGCCGTTGGTCGCCGTCGGAGCTCCGAGAACGCCCTGAGAACGGGCGGAATGTGTGCCGTCCCGGGGTCGTCTGGGAACAGAGGGCACCAGCGTGTAACGTACCTGGAAACGAGGCCAGCTTGTACGGCACGCCACGGACGTAACGGTACAGGCGAAGGTATTTAGCTGGCCGCTGTTAGGTAAGCGCTTTGCTCACTAACGGAAGCTCAACAGATGGATCTCGGGCACCTGTCTTATTTTTAGCACAATTCATTCCCGATGGGTTGATATTGCGGAGCATAGGATACCAGGATGCTGGGAACATTGGCAGACGCAACCAATGCCCTAGAGAACTGACAATGCCGAAGACCGCCGGCCGCGTCAGCGTGTATGGCACGCCCTGGCGCCTGTATTTCGCCGTCTGTCGGCCCGGAATTGATCTGCCGCTCGTGGCGAAGCAAAACACACCCATCGGCATCGCACAACGCGCTTAGGGAGCCTGCACCAGCTGTGAAAAGGCCTAATGCTACGTGCGTGTTTTGCAGCATTAGTCACGCTAACCCCCCTCCCCCTGGATGCGGGTGGATCTGACGTTTACGATGAATGCACCATGTACGGCACCATAGGGATCGAGCCCGTCACACTGCGGCCAACATTGGGGGCAGCTGTTTCTGATGATTACGGCATCTTTTTTGGCTAGCCTTCTGTTAGTTGGATGGGGTATTTCTGCCAAGTTTTGACTTTCACATGCGCTATACAGTGCGAGCTGTCGGTCGCTGCGGTCCAGCTATAGCGATGGACATGGCCGCAAGGCACTGTCAGCTGCTGGCCGCCCCGGTCCAGCTATACCAATGGGCATGGCCGCAAGGCACCGTCAGCTGTCGGCCGCCGCGGTGCGGCCATACTGATGGACATGGCCAATAGCGCAGGCAGGGGGGGGGGGCAGAGGGGCAAGTGTCCCCCGTAGGTTCCGAGGAGCCCGAGGGGCTACTCACATCCTGCGATTAAGAGCCGATTTGAGGGTCCGAAGGGTCTGAAAAGTCAGTTGGAGGTCGCATGCAGGGGCCTCGGCCCGCAGGGCCGGGCACTCCAGTGCCAGCCAGAGGGCCCTGGGCGCCGATCAGGGGCCCCACTGGGTCGACTGGGGCCTATAGTTTGGTCAGACACCACCAGTAACGCACAGTCGGCTCCATGGCGGCATGGGTCTGAGTGCCCATTTCCAAAGCGAGGACGAAGCCGGAGCCAGCGATTTACGTTGTTCGATGGCTCCACAGCGCCTGACAGGGGCCCTGCGTTTTCAAGGAGCCCCCTAGTTGGCCACAGGCAGTGTTTGAAGAGGCCCGAAGAGCCTAGAGGGCCCACTGCGTCCGAAGGCCCAATTTGGAGGTCTCAAGGCCCCGATCTGCGAAGAACCCTCACATAACGGCTAGAGGGCCTTTTGCACCGGTCGGGGACCCCCGAAGTCGATCTGGACCTATATATCGGTCAGGCACCACCGCACCACATAGCCGGCGCCGTGTCGGTATGGGCCTGAGGATCCACTTCTCAATCACCCACAAAACCGGATCAGTGATTTACACTGGTCACGGGTCTTGTATCTGTTAGGGGCCCACAGGGCCTCACAGAGGGCCCTGTGCTCACAAGGGCCCCGAGCCGAGCAAGGAAAGTGTTCGGCGAGGCGCGAAGAGGGATCCAGGCGGCCCACCGGAACCGACGATCAAGGACTAACCATAGGTCATATAAAGAATCGCGGCTCGTGGGGTCGTGACTTAAGATATCGAATTTGAGGTTGTCCCGCATGATTGCAAGGTCGTCTTGTACGGTCCGCGATTTCAATGTTTGGTGTCCCCGACACAATGAGGGGCTGCTGTGTCGGCTGGGGGCCACAATGCCGGACAGGGGTCCTGTGGCGGCAAGTGGCCCCGATTTTAAGCGGTGTTTGAAGGGGTCCGAATAGAGGTCAAAGGATCTCTCGAGACCAAAGGTCAAGGGCCCGATGGGATTGCTGGAGGGTCCGAAGGGCTGGCTGAAGGTCACAATAAGGATCCCCGCCCATAGGACCGTGATCTCAAATGTCAGTAAAATTAGCTCTTGCACCGATAGGGCCCCTGAGACAGAGCGTTCCTCTATTTCGGCCAGAGATCACGACGAACAGTCGGTTCTGTGTTGATCTGAGCTCTGGGGACCCATTTCACAAGCAGGGACAAGGCGGGGCCCGCGGTTTACATTGGTCGTACTCCTGTATCGTTCGGGGGCCCGCAGTGCCTAACAGGGCATTCTGTGTCAACAAGGGGCCTCGAATCGGTCAGGGAAAGGTTTGCTCAGCAGGGACGGGGACGGGAGCCCGGGCGGCAGAGGACTCTTCCGTTGGTCGGGGCCCTCTGACAACTGAAGGAAGCGTAAAAACTTATGATGGGTGCTCACATTGAGGAAATAGAAGAGTTCTGTGTCAGTCAGGGCCCCAGTACCATACAATAGGTGTTCCGATTCTATTCCAGCATGGGCTCGTTAAGCCCAACTGGAGGCGATGTGTCAGTTATTTGACCATCTGCGGCAAGCAGGGATGCTACTGCGTTAATGACGGTTCATGCATCGATCAAGGGTCAACTGCGTGGGTCGGAAGGCCTCCTGCGTCAGGGAGGAGACCAATGTGTTATGATAAATCCCTCTACGGGCCTCTGAATCGCCCAAGGAAGCCGCCCGTGTCGCCAGAATGACGACTGGAAAACACACCGCAGTGGGACAGAGTGGTCATTCGGCCCTTGGCCAGGAACAACGGTAGGCCCCCTAGTGTTGTACTCAAGTGGGCCCTTTTTCCGGAAAGAGATGAGGGGTCTCATAAGTGGTGAGTGGAGTGGGTCGAAGTGAGTTCAAAATGCACAAGGCCATCCCATCGTTCCTTGAGAATATTAAGTTTTTAACAGAATCGACTAGTGAAACAAATACCATCAAAAAGTTTGGGCCTGCGCTCCGGGTGCCGGTGGTGCGGTGGTTAACGCGCCCGCGTGAGCCACCGTGCGTCTAGGAAAGCACAGGCACGGGGTTCGATTCCCCGCGGCGCTCGCCCTTCACGCTAGGGTGAGAGGCTGGCGGCGCCATAAAGCCCTAGCAGCTGAATGCGCCATTAAACACCAATGACACGCCCGTAATCTCGGGGAGCAAGGAAAGTGGTGACTTGAGTCGCACTTTTCCTAAAACCGAACGGAGTTGGCCACTGCAAGTAGCGCCAGGGACGGGCACCGTGCGCGCGGCAATGCCATCGTGAAATAATCATTCTGAATGTCTTTCAAAATCAATTTGTACAGCTCACAGATTACACTGGGCGAATATTGTTTACAACTTTGAGAATGTCTTATGGACAGATTAGCAGGTATACCAAAACAGAAAATAAAGATTTGACCTTTATTCTCTCAGTTCCACCACTAAATTCCAGCACCACTTGCCAGTACTGTGAAGACCAATACGTTATTGTCACCCATCTACAAACCGAACAGGTCAAATATAGGCCCAGAATGCCTCTAAATGTACGAGTGGTGTCTGAAAGTGTTCAAAGGCACGTTTTTCAAATGCGTCACGATTTTCGTCCACCTGTTGGCCAGGGGGCTAACGCAACGCGGCCTATAAAGACTGCAACGCTTGACGTCGAGCTTTTTGTTTCAAATATATGCGAGCGCTCATGCCCAAAACTACGTAACACACTTTGTGCCATTAATCAATTCCGACTGAATGCTGAAGGTATCCAGAAGAATTTGGCATGGCCACGTTAATACAAATTGCTGACCCATTTCGATCTCTTC